TTCTAAAGATGCCTTTTACCAAGGATTCTGTTTTTTGTTAAACAAAAGTCACTTTATCACCATTAATAACCTCATTGACTGTGACGACTTACATTGTGTGAAGATAACTAATTACATATAGTCAAGGCTGTTCTTTTCATCCCTTTACTCATTTGCTTCTGGCAGTGTGTCCCTCTGGATCCCTCTAACTTGCAGAGGTAGAGACTTGTCATTTGTCCTTGGAACAACACTAGAGAAAACAAAATTGCTACAGGATATAGCCTGATGATTCTTTCACTAGATGCTCTCTCCTTTCTGAGTAACAACTGAATCACAGCAGATGCCAAGGGTGGAAAAGACTGCTTGTCACAAAACTGTGTGGCTGTGTTTAGTTCTGTCCTTGTATCCTAACTTTGTATTTTCCCATTCCAAGGATGCATCCTGCCCTCAAACAATATTAGTAGGTCTGCAGGTAGAATTGCTCTATTTTGTCATTCATGTCAGGTATTATAGAAATGAAACAATTGATTTACAATAAAGATTATTTTCAGGGGGAGGAAATGATCTCTCAGAGTTTACAGATGGATGTCCAAATTCCTAAAATCCAAAGCTATTTTCTGAGGGAGGATAGCTCACACCATGAGCCTAACCCAGCGATAACCAGGGACTTGTTGTGGAACTTTTCCTCCATGTCTTTCATTTCCTATCCATCCCTGACATACTTCTCAAGAGAGAACTGTACCTTATTGTGGCATTTCTTATTCCTTATTTAAGACATTGGCTATGTAAAGGGTTTTTTTGAAAATTTTGGGAAGTTTTTGAGTTACAGGGAATTTCCCTTGTTTACATTTTGTATATTTCTTAATCTGTGAGGGTCTGAGTGAAAGTGAGAGATAATGAAGTATTAATTATTTTATGGTACTATAGGAATAATTCTTCATCTTGGAAAGTTGCTGATTGAAGATTTATGATGGTAGTGTTAGTCAGTTAGATTTTTGTAACCTAAGGATGTGCTAGGTAAGATGAAATGAAATGCTGTTCCAGACTTTTTATTAGCTGTAGCATATACATCAGCAAATAATAAGATTCAGATTTCCTTATTTTAGGATTTCTCAGTTTCTGTTTGAATGAGACTTTTGGGAATGAATAGTACAGTAATTTTTTTTAAAAGCCCTTTAAATATTCTTCACCGTCTCAACATCTCTGGGAACTAACTACAGTGCATTCTGCAGTATGTGTGAGTCCATGTAATGTAAAATTGCTATGCATAGGTTTTACATATCACACATCTTGAAACCTTTTTCTCTTGTGTCTGAATTTTTTGTAAGAAGAGCTGTTTGTTAGCTGTTCAGTGTCTGTTTCTAAACATAAACTGAAGACCCTTTTTTTTGTTTGATTTTTTTCCCCCTGTGCTTCTCTCTGTTTATAGACTGTACACGCCATGTTTTTAAAACTTACTGTCTGAAGCTTTTTACACAGTAAATAGCTGCAGATAACTATCTTACCTACTTTCCTCCAAGTTAAAGAAAACTTTCTCCTCCCCTTTCTCTGTATTGCTTCTTCAATTTCCAATTCTTTCCCATTTGCTGAATAATACAGTTAACTGGCTTATGGTTATTTTACTTCCCCGTTTGTGTATTGGGATAATTAATTGTGTAGTTTGTAATCCTAATACCAGGATGGTACTGACAAATTCTTCGGGTAGTAATGACGTGTTCTTTTAAATTGCCGTCTTAAGAGCTAGGGCCAAATCCTGATGCAGTAGTTCAGATTTTATTGTGAACTACTTTTATTTTCATAATTACTGAGTATCCTCATGAGGGCTTTCATGAATGGAGGGACACAAAAACTGAAGACAGGTTTTCTGCTCACAAGGTAATACATAAGAAGACAAAGGAAAAGAGTTGGAAGTCTCATTTCTGTCCCTGTCCCATAATTTCTGCCTTCTGCTCTGCATCTCCTCACCTGCAGTGTTTCATGCTCAGCTCTCTGATCTCTTCATCATGTCTTCCCCTACCATGAGAATGGATCCAAAATGAGTTAATGGTGATGTTTTCCCCACACTTTTTCTTTATTCATTGGCTGCACTTGATCTTATGTTGCAAATATATTTTCCTTCTTTGTATGGTTCAGAATATAATGAGGAGAAAGGAACACCAACATGCACAACATCAGAAGCCATGCTGGAGTTGCTTACAATGAGCATCTTTATTTTTTTTGGTTTCCTTCACAAAAAAAAAAGGGGAAAAAGAGAGGGTATGAAATTTTGAGTCTACAGATACTTTTACACAAATTAATGTCTGGTTGTGCATTTGTTTTATCTTTAAAAGAAAAATCCTTCCATGAAGGTTATAACATAGGCTAAGATTTATTTACCTTAGAGATAAGGAATTTTATTGCTTGCAAGGTTATTTATGACATAAGCAAAGAGTAACAGAAGGATGAAAGGTAACATTTGTTATGAATACCGAAGAGAAAATGTGGATAAACTGGGAGTTTTGGAAGTGCCAAGTGTATTACTTTCCCCGTTTTCACTTCTAGAAGTGGAGTTAGAGGTTCATTATTGTATGAAGTTAAGAACAGCATATGCTACATTATTTTTGCCCATCATCTGAGAAAATTAATGACAACTAACGGTATTAATTCAATATTCTAGACAAGTTGCACAGCCTTAATGATGAACTCATGATGGGGTAAATCACTGAATTTTTTTCTCCTGCCTGCTTCTCCTGAATTTGTACAAGAATACAGTCTTGCTGGACTGGGACAGGGCAGAGCCAAGAACATGTAGGTCAAAAAGAAAGATCAGAATGTACTTGCTGACACTGCATAGGACATCAGTTTCTTGGAAAGCAATGAGCTAAGCACAATTTTGGTAAGATTCCAAACACAGTTCAGAGTGTAGCTGATGATATTTTTTTGTCCTTTCTTTGCAACTTGAGTTTTTTTAGCTTCTAGGTTTTAAGCTTTTCTCACAAAACAAAGTGGTTAGAAAGTTACTGCAGACAAAACTCCAAAACTACCGTGGGAGTCATATTGCCTCACTCAAGAGACTGGAGCTTTTCTGGAAGTACTAGAAAGCACAAGATGAAATCATAACCTTGGGCACCACTTGATAGAGTAAGAGGAATAAACTCCCAGCAGGAGACCCTGGGGCAGGTTAACACAGAGCTGCCTCCACCATCACTGTGTTGAAAACTTGTCTGTGCATTCTATTGGTCCTCTTTATCCCTTTAGTCTCCCTCACTCCTTTCTTCATTAAACGTTGAGTTATGTGATTTGTTGTTTTTTTTCACCATGCAGGGGTGCAACACAAGGGTTAGAGCAGCATTGGAAGGCAAAGGGAGCTGTTAGGAGTACTAGGCAGGACAAAAATCTTACTGATACTTGAGTTTTTCACAGGTAGGAAGACTTGTCCTAGGAATAAATTTGGCCTCATCAGAAACAGATAGCTGGTGGATAACCCTGCTCTGGGCAGCTATAGTGGCATTGCCCTAGATGTTTGTAAATCATCAGTGAACTTTGTAAATCAGTGAAGAATGCTGATGACCCATCAAAGCAATTTGGAATGAAAACTGACAATTTTTATTTATACTAATTAAAACTCAGTTTGTATTGCTAAGGACTCAAGCTGAAGACCACCTCTGCTCTTTTCTGCATAAAATGAGCAAGGCCAGGTTTAAAGGCAGTTGGAAGGGAAAACTGGCTTAGCTATAGATAGGAAAGGCAAAACAAGCAAATATGAATTATTTGCCACTGGCTACTATTTTCTGAGAGAATCAACACTAATGAAAAATAAATTACTTTTTTACTTTATTTGAAAATGAAGATAACAATAAAAGGTGACAAAACATAATCAAAGAAAACAAGAGAAGGTCAGCTTTTTAAATTTTCTCATTAAAAAAATTAGTATTGTCAATCCTAGCCATTCAAAAAAAAAAAAAAAAACCTACTAGAAGAGAATTTTCTCAAAAGGAATAAGTTTGAAAGTGAAGTGTACGCATGTGTCTATTAGTGTGAATATCAGGCTTGTGATATCAGAGTTCATTCCAGTTATGTTTCAAATGTTCCTCAACAATATATTTGCCATTTACTTATTTTTCTTTCAGTGGAGATTTTCTTGTTATCAATTGACTTGAGGAAAGAGATCTTTACTGTTCAGATATGAATGCAATCAAAACTCAAATCTCAGAATACTGTTCTGAGCTCTGATATAAAGATAGTAATTTAAATTAGAACTTTATATATTTTGTTTTTCAGGTTTGGGTTCTTTTGTCTGGTGGTTGGTTTTGGATTTTCTATTTAATTTAGGGTTTTTTTTCCTTTTTTTGTTTTCATTAACTTTTAACATTTTTTTTTTGGTAAAGTATGGATTACATAAGGTGTATCTGTTTTACATGATTATACCTAAGACAGAAAATCCCCACACCTGTCTTCCAGATGAGAAATTGTCTCTTCTGCTGTGCTTGTTTAAGCAGCAAAGTCCAGCCTGGCACTTGTGCCACCCTTCTCCCATCAGCAGCCCAATCACCTGACCTATTTGCCCGGCACTGACCTATTTGCCTGGCAGACTGCTAAGAGTTACAGCAACTAACTATTTCTGATTTCTCTTCCAGGCAGCAGAATGATTTTGTGGTGCATCACTTCCTCACCAACTGCAAGGTAAGAATAAGACCAGTCTTATAATCTTTGAAGATTCAAGAGGGTATGATAATTATTTGCCCTGTTTGCTTGTACAGTGCTCTGCTGCAGTCACATTTATTTTGTCCTGCTGCTTCTCCTTAGAAAATAGTACAGTCCATGAAAGGGGGACTCCTGCTTAATGGCAATGACATTGTCAACTTTTTAAAATGTTGTTGCTCTGTGCTGGTGTTTCTGAGCAATTGTGGGAAGTTCAGTCTTTTGTGATATCAAGATGATTGCTATAAACAGCTGTTCTCCATCACCCAGGCAGTGAAGGGATATGTCAGGGCTGACATAAAAAGAATCAGAAAAACAAAAAAAGTAGTAACAATGATGATGATGATGATGATGACAATAATAATAATGATGACAATAATAATAATTATGATTAATAATAATAATAATAATAATAATAATAATAATAATAATAATAATAATAATGTGGGGGAGAGGGCTGGGGAAGGGAAACCTGGCATTGGTTACAGAAACATGACTCAGCTTCTGTTCAGTAAGCCCTCTGTTCAAGCGCATTACACAACAAATTTAGAAGGGGCTTTCATACTTTTTGCATGGCTTCTCCACTCTGATTTCCTGTTTACAGCAGGCTAGGAAAATAACTTGTCAGAATAGCTGGAGAGCTGCACCCGGACTGCAGGGGAGCTCTTGCCAGAGCAAGTTTTGCTTGAGGATTTAGATCCAGAGATGTCCTGGCATTGTCCCAACCTTTAACAATAAACACAATAGTTTCACTCCAGCAATAGTTGTATGTTCTGGTATGCACACACCAGCTGTGTTCCTGCTCCTACAGTCCAAGTGTTTTCCCAGACAGAATACTTCATAAAATGAAAATAGGTTTGTGCTATTTACAAGGCCTATTATTTTTAATGCGTCTTTTTCTTTTCTAATATATTTCCTTATTTCTAAATTAAACTCATCAAAACTATTAATTTAAGAATGTAGCTTTTAGAAATTTTTCAAACATATGGTTTATAAAGGAAAAAAGAGTGTGAAAATATATGTGCAGGCTTTCTTTGCAATTTATTAAGCAAAAATTACCAATACTGGCCATACCATTAGAAAGCACATAATAAAATTAAGGAAAATGCGAATCTGTCAAGTTTACCTCCAAAATTTCCATTACACATACCAAAGAAGTTGAAATGGTTAGTAGGTATAAGAACCTCTGCAATAACAGATTAATCCATTGATTCTGTTTTCAGTGTTTATCCAAGTGATGTGTACATATATAAACCTAGGAAACTAGGAAACTTAACATGCAGTCTTTTAATCTGACTTCTAAAACCTGTGTTCTATCCAGTTACCATCAACAGGCATTTTAAAAATATAAAATAATATTTTTAAAAATCTATTTTTAAATAGATTAAATATAAATAAAAATCTACATAAAATAAAGTGTAGAACTAATTTATTTTATAAAGAAATAAGTTTTCGTTTTAAGCTTTCAGAGGGTTGTTTATAATATTCATAAAAATAAATTGCTGGTGTCTTTTTTATTTGCTTGAAAAATATTTTGTTTTGTAAGCTTAAAATGATTTTTTTTTTCCTGTCAAGTTACTTGACGTAGTGCTTTAGACTAGAATAACTGGAATGTGTTCCTGATTATAGCAATTGCCTAGTCTTCCATTACTTAAAAGGAAGCACAAGGACTTGAAAAGCCATGTTGAAGGAAATAATTTGGGTAGCTCTCGCTAGCAAAGAATCCCTTCCCAAGTGCTCCTTGTGTGTTTCATTCACATGAAACCTCATTCAAATCCAGAACTATCTGAGGCTTTACTTAACACTTTATGGTCATGCTGTAAGATATGGGAGATGGAATGTGGAATATATTGCTATTTAAAGCATGCACAGCTTTGGAAGCCTGAAGACTACTGAGATCATAGTGAAAAAAGTAGAGAAGGTAAAGGTGAGAAAGTGTTCTTCAAAATTCTTAATATATTATGAAGAGAAAATTGAGATCACTAAGATGGTTTTTAAGTCTCCTGCATGCTATGACTGTCATGGCAGAAGAATTACTCTGGATTCACAAGCAAAAATGTATCCTTAGCAGAAATTATCAAAGTGAAGCTTTTGGTAGCTGTTTGACGTAGCTTATGGCTGCAGCAGTTAGATTGGGTAATGACATTTAAACTGCATCTGGCTATAAGTGTTGCTTATAAGTGCTTCAAAGACACTGGTCACCTGGAGCAAACTCAGAGAGCAAATTATAGATTTTGAGTTCTAGCTTGTCCCTATTTGATTCCAGTGCACACAGAATCCTCCCAGTAAAAGAGACTTAGGCAATTTTTTTTTGTTGAAAATTGGGTTCCCAATGAATACCATAAATATTGCTTAGTTCTTAGAGTTCTTCTCTAAGAAGAGAGAAGAAGGAAGGAATCAAAGAAAAAAATCCAAGAAGGAATCAAAGGAAAAGATGGGCACCAATGTGGCCCTATTAAATGGAAGACTACAACTATAGTTTTTGTTAGGTTAAAAAGGTGAAGTCATATTTGTTGTAAGAGTTAACTGTAGTTAAACTTTCCTCATGCAGACATTGAGAGGTATTAGGATGGAACTCTCTTTTTCATGCATGGGCAGTACACACTCCACTCATGGCTCCAAAGAGAAGGGCATCAAAACATTGTATTAGAAACACAATAAGGTCCTTGCAAGTTGTAAGATTTAGTTGTCATCTGTTTTATGACCACTGTTTTAGGTAACTCAACAGGAAATTGAAGCACTTTTTAGAAAACATGTTACATGTACACAGGGCATACTGGAGACTTGCTTTCCTTGCTCCAGCAACCTCCTCTTAAGTAAACAGAGAAGGAATATTTCTGTGCACAGCAGTGTCTGAGGCTTGCAGGAAAAACCTGTCTTCAAATCCTCAGTGTTGCCTATGCCTTAGCTGCATTAAATGACCTGTTTTTCTCTATCCAAGTGCTAAGCTGGGGGTGGTGGACACCACTGGTGTCCTTCCAGAGTGACAGGACAAATAGCTCATTGGTGAGAGCATCAGTCACTTTAGAGAGCAATGGAAACTAGAGCAGTGTCTATTAGGAGACAATGTGGGTGTCAGAAAACTGAGCACAGGCTGTCTGGTAAGACTTTCAGCTTTCTGGAACACACAGGGACTTACAGGACAAAACCGTATATAGTATATTTTTCAGTAATTGCAAAGTATGTTTTGCTGAAAGAAAAAATTCTCTTAATGTTACCTAATATGTTACTAACAAATCAGAGAAGTTCCTCTGAACCTGTCCGAGTCTCTGCAAAATTAATCTGTGGGCTCAATGACATAACCATTGTGCGGTCAGCCTGCCATCTATTAGATATGGAGAACAGTTGCAAGTGCGCCAATTGTACTATGCTGGATCTGTGAAGATGCAAGCCCAGTGGAGCATTCTGCAGTTTTGGTTGCAGAACTCTAAGGCTTGGGATAAAGAAATTATGAAGCTAAACACAAGAATGCACTCATATAGTTTATCCTTAGTAAGTTGCATGAGATAGGTAGTATCCCTTAATTTTTTCAGTGTACCTACTGTATTAGATGCTTTGTTCCTTTCACTTCAGAAGTAAGAGTTTAAATTTCATAACTGCATTCATATAAAACTTCTAGCAATTTCCTTCTCATTGTTCTATGGAAGTGATATTGGGAAGGCTGATGCCACAATTGAATGACTGTTCTCCATTATTTAAGAGAGAAGTTTGCCCTTAGAACCTTTCCTCTAGAAAGAATGAAAAGAAAAGGAGTTTTTGAAATACTGTTTTGATGAAGTGAGAGAAATATATGTCAATTTTCTGATAAATATAACAGTGCCTGAAAAAAGATACCTAATTAAAAATCATTATATTTATGCTTCTCTGTATCCTAATCACAAGCTGACGAGTTGAAAGACATCACCAGAATGTCATAATTGCCAGATTCTGCATCTGGATCTTTGAGCTATTTGACAGACACGTAGCATACAAAATATCTAGGCAAGTTGCCAGTGACTGTTTAGATGTTGGTGCAGGGGAACATATAATGTTCTTCACATATCTGTGTCCAGTCATTCCCTCAGAATTGTCTTTTTCTGCTTGTCTTTGTTTGTGTTGACCTTGTGTGGATTGAGGCAAATACTCCTCTATTAGTTTTTTTCCATAAAAGGAAGGTGACTGGGAAGGCTGAAAATTTATTTTTCTGCAGGTTTAGTGATGCAGCAGTCATGAATCAGAGCTAGATGAACTCAGAGACAAAAGCAATTAAAATCCATGAAGTACAAGGAAATCAACAGAATGGAAGAAATTCCATCCTTTTAATTCAGTAAACATTGTCAGTGAGCCACAAATCCTACTTTTGATGATAATTTTCGTCTTTTCTATGTACTGTGTTTATGTAATATAATCCCCTCAAAAAGAAAGAAAGAAAGAACAAAAGTTAGGTATATGTACTATAATGTAGAAGCAAATTGTACATTCATTAAATTATTTGTACAGAACTGAGCTTGTCATAATCCATATAAGTGCACAAGATGTGAAAAACTGAGCCTACTATTTCTATTTCTTTAATAAGACCAGTTGCTTATATACTATTTATTTAAATAATTGCAACCATCTTCTTCCCCCACCCTTGCTTTTTCCTTTTGGAGAGAAACAACTCCTAGAAATAACTAGTGTCAGCTGTGAATTCTGGAGGAGAAGCCAAGAATATAAAACCCGCGCATGTGTGGACAGATCTGACCCTCAGTGGGAACATGGTGACACGGTCTCTTTTCCCCGCCCGGGGCAGCCTGCTGTCGGCAGCACCTTTTAGAGACAGGAGCCAAGGAACTTTTAGACCAGGAGCCAAGGGACTGATTTTCCCTGCAGCTGCTCCTCAGAGTCAGACAGCCTTTGCTGAGGATGAGGCTGCACTTTCGCTATCCCTGCTTGGAGAGGATGGGCCTGGATCCTGCTGATGAGACTCAGTGTTCCCACAGCACTGCTATTGAGGTGGTTGCCCATGTTTGCATTGCTGGAGTGTTCTGTGCTCACCCACAACATTCAAATGTTGCTGAGTGACATAGGGCTAAACTTAAAGCAAACAGATCATACCTGTTAGCTCTGAGGAAATTAAGTAGGGGCACCACAGCACGTTTTCTTGCTATATCATTCTGGCTATGTCCATGGCATACATTGCTTCCACTGACAAATCCCAGTAACTTTTAGTTTTCAGCATGCTCCACTGCTCTTAGGTTTTTCCACTCTCTGTCTTGCAACAATGCTAGCCTTAAGGCTTCTTGGGCGTCTGCGTTGCAATTTATGAAAGTGAAACTTTTTAAAGGTCACAAGAGTGCTTGCTCCTTCTGTCAACAACTTGCCTTGCAAGAGGGCTGGAAAAAAGTGTTTGGCTCAATTCCTGGGTACAATCCAGAGCACCACAGAATAATCCAGTAACAGCATTTTGAAACCCCTTTTTAATACTGTCACCATGTTTGGAAAGATCTATGGGCTGCAGAAAAAAAAAAACCTTCTTATAAAGCTGGAAAACAAAACAGCACGTCCAAGTCTAAACTGTCCTTGCCTGAACTGGACAGATCTCTGTTTTGTGTAATCAGTCAATAGATCTCTGGATCACATAAATCAAAGCTGTTCCTTTACCCACAGCCCCTTTTGTCCAGGTCTGCCTGTGTTTGGGGCTGTGGATGTCATGCGCATGGACTGACACAGGTAATGGAGGTAGATGCATGTTGATGGGGAGTTTGCTCTGTCAGAGGTTCCTGAAGGGCTTCTCACTGCTTTCAGCAAGGGACTTGCCTGTTGCAATGCACTTAAAAAATTCAGATTGCGCTAGTGAGCTAAAAATACCTGTGTGCTCATCAGAGGTGAGATGTCTGTCTTCTTTCTTGGTGCTGCTTGGACACTCTGGATAGAGGGAATAGTTGCCAGTTGCAAAATTTGGCTTTCTTCCTTCCCCCTTCACTGCTCTTTAATTGTAATTACAGCAACTTTTTGTCCCTTTCAGATCTGCTCACTTTGAGCGAAGGGTAAAAGAATGATTTGTTGGAGTATTTTGTATTTATCAACTAGTTGCCAAGAGAATAAGGTTTAGCACAGCAGAGCTTGCCCTTCGCAAGAGCAAATAAAACATGCTGCTTGTACTCTGTTTCAACCCTAACTACGCTGTCAGGTGTAACATTTCTTGTTTCTTCTGGTTGTGCCAGAAACCTAGTTAGTATTCAGTCATGCAGTCATAGAAAAGTACCAAATATATGCCAAATAAATTAATGTAATTTAAATTTACTTTCTAACTGCATATGGGAAGCAAAAAAATATAAGAACAAATGTAGTATAGCCTCCATTAGAACAGTGTTTTGCTATGTTAGCTACATGAAAATGCTGCTTATAAAGCTTTTTAAAGATTAATTTGTTTGTGATTTGTAGTAGTTTGATTTTTTGGAGGTTTTTTTGGGGCGGAAGGGTAACTGTGAGACAGAGGTAGGATCTGTTATCTCCCAGGTAAAAAGATACAAGTTCACTGCAGTGCACTCTAATATTAGTGGCTCCTCTGAATGCTTTTAACCTGTGATAAAATCACCTTCAAGGTAAGTCAATTTGCATTCATTGTGAGATAATTCATGATAATAATGCTGAAACACCTTAAATATTTCCCATATTGCAACTGCTTCTTTAGTCACTCATACCATGAATAAAATCAGTTTTATACAAGGAATTCAAAAGTCTATCTAGTCAATACTCCTAGGATGTTGTTCCATAAAATATGATTGGGGGAGAAAGACTATAGTGTATTTTCAAACTTATTCTGAGAAGGTATTTTATGTCAAATAGCTGGATGAAATGGGTTTTCTTTGAGGAAATACAGGCTTATATGAGGCTTTATGGTAGCGTAAGTTATATGCACAGAAAAGAAGTGGGACATTTTGAAGCATTAAAAAGTTTGAATAAAATATAGGAAGAGGAAGACAGCAATTAAGACAACTTATTAAGAGAAGATTATTACTTCCTTTGAATTACTTTGAACTATGAGGGGAAAAAGAGGGAAATCAGAAAAAAAAAAAAAGTAGAAGTTTTGTGGCTTTACATTTTAATTAATTTACATTGTTTTTCTTCTGCACAGGCCAGGTATTGTTTTCTTCCTTTGTTTGGGAGGTCAGTTTTACATGTTACAACTGAAGAACTGCTTTGTTACTTTAGAGCTGTGCGACTCTGTCTCCATAAACAATGTTGATGGACTAAAACATAATGACCAACAGTAAAACTGTCTTTCCTGTCTTATCCTGTTAAATGATAGGCTAGGGGATCATTTCGTTTAATATATATGTGATAATTATATAGCTCTAAAATATTGCTGCAGGCTTCTCTTTGTTTGTATTGCATATTTAATACTGAAATTTTTTTTTTAATTAGAGCTGCATTTGTTATCATGATCTATTTTCCTGGCATTCTTAACTAGGAAAAATGGGCTACTTACAAAAGAAATGGACCAGTTTCAACAGACTTCAACTGACTTAGGGTAGACACCCCAAGCAAGAGTGTAAATAATAAAAAAGCAATTTATTAATCAGAAGCCATTACCTGCTGAATACCTGACACCTTTTACAGAAGGTATTCTTAAATTCCGTTTCTTAGCTGATGGGCAATGATGACAGCCTTGAGTATTGATCATCTGCAGTAGGGAGTTTTCATTTTAATTCAAGGCCGTCCAATCACAGCAAGGCCTTTTTTAGCTCTGGGAAATTGCATTAATTTCCAGATAAATAATAACCAGGTTTTAAAATAATTTTCCCCTCCTATGCCCCAACCTACTATTCAGCTGAAAGCAAAAGTATCATATCTCCTTTGAGAAAGACTGAATGGCATCACATTCATCAGTTGACTTTAGAAATAATACTTACTACATCAATAAACAGGTAACAGGTTGTGGCCTCACCATTACAAATTACATTTGATGGAGAGTTGGTGAGTCAAAGACATGTTTTAGCCTGGAAAGACTTGTGATGGAAGGTGAGATTCTTGATAGTGACATACGGGAGCAAGAGGAATGCATTTGTGGCTTGGTTATTCCCTCAGTGCCCCAGCAGAAGATCATGCAGGGAGGTGCTCATGCTAGATGGAATGCACTGTCTTAGAGAGAGAGGTGAGTTTTTCCTGTGTAAAACACAGGAGAAGTATCACATAGTGCCAGGCTAACTTTCTGGATGTGTTTTTTAATATTGTAATTGTACATTCCTCTCCCCCTTAAAATACATCTAAATAATTCAATTTTTATGTTATATTTAGCACTCTCCCCTTCTCTGATCCAGGTAATTGTCTTTCATCCAAGTTATGTCAAACATCTCAGGCAAGGTGCCTGAAGCAAACTCAACAGGCAGTGTCCTTCTGAACTCTGAATCCCCCATTAGAAGCTGTACTAGGTGAAAGGTGCACTATTCAACTTGGATTTCGTAACAGCACTTGGACTCTACTCAGAAGCTACTGCTCTGTCATAATATCCACTAGGTAGGGAGATCCAGCTCTAGAAATAGCATGCTGTATCCAGGTGGAGTTCCAGGAGTGAATGACTGCTGGGAGAAGATATAGGCTAATTTTCTGCTATTTCAAGGATATGATCTGGAGGTCAAGGTGGAATGTGCTTGACAATGTGCCTTTGCAAGTGACTTTCACTAGTATCATCAAAATCCAGGAGCTAAAATCCACAGGAATGGTCATGTAGTGCAAATGCTGGTAAGTCTTAATGTGTCTGTTGATCTCTGAAGGGGGACTCCACTCAAAATCCACAATATGTGGGACATCTTGCCTCTGTGTCCCCAGGAACAGCCATCTTCCTGCAGCACTAGCCTATGAAGAATCTCTGCTGGTCATTCGTCTCTCTGCAACAGTTGCCCATAGCTGTGTACCATAGTTGCAGGAATTGGCTCAGATCAGTAGCATCAGCCCAAGGATATATGTTTTCCTGTGGAAATGCATTGCTGTGTCACTCCCAGTTTCACAAACTACTTCAGGAGACCCTTCTTCACTGTGGTAGCTGGACTTTGTAGCTGTGCTGTGGAAAGGTAAGGTAGTGAAGCAAGGTAGTGGTCCATTTCTGTAAAACAAGGGAAGGTTTAAATCTAGCAAGTGGTTAAAAAGTACTAGGTACATGTTTTAACTAGCTAATTCCCAGAAAATATCTTGATCCATATTGCAGCATTGCCTCTCAAAGCTGAAGTGCTTAAGCAATTGTAACTTGCTGCTGTTCTGTACATTTTAATGGATGGCTGAGGTGGAAGAGCCATTAGTTTTACATCCTGGTGTAACAGGCTTTTACATAATGACATTTATATATTTACCTTTATATATGTTCATATATTTACATTTATACTATTTATATAAATAACCATCTGCATTTAAAAATTCTCAAGGTCTCAAATAGCACAACTTTGATAATTTCCAAATTTATAACACTGACAATACAGCTAAGTTTGTTAGGTAGAGCTACTGGTCTGAAAATGTAGGATTCAAGACGTTGCACAGAACTGCTAGCAGATCGTCCCTTTAATGGTGCTAATTTAAATTCTAACTCTATAATGTAGCACTAGAAGGGTTGTGCAGATATTAAAAAAGATTAAAAAAAAATATATATATATATAGTCACTTAGCTATGAAGGAATTTGTTCTGGTTTTGACTGGGGTAGTTAATTTCTGTCACAGTAGCTATTATGGGGATGTGTTTCAGATTTGCACAGAAAGCAGCACTGACAACACAGAGATGTTCTAGTTACTGCTGGGCAGAACTCACAATGCACCTAGATCTTTTCTGCTTCTTGAATCACCCCATCAGCGAGTGTGCTGGGGGTAGAGAGGAGCTGGGAGGGGACACAGCTGGGACAGCTGAATCCCAGTTGATCACAGGGATATTCTAGGGTATGTGGTATCATGCTCAGCATATGGAGGTGGGGGAAGAAGGAAGTGGGAGAACATTCAGTGATGGAGTTTGTCTTCCGAAGTCACCATTAAGGCATGATGGAGTTCTGTCTTCCTGGAGATGCTTGAACCCAAGCCTGTCTACTGGAAATGGGGAATGAATTCCTTGGTTTGCTTTGCGTCTGTGGCTTTTTCTTTATTAAACTGTCTTTATCTCAACTCTTGAGTCTTCTCACTTGACTCTTCTGACTCTCCTCCCACACTCACAGTGGGGTACTTAGGGAGAAGTGTCACACTCTTTCTTCGCTAGTAGAGGTTACACACAGTAACAGATCTCCAAGCAGATTAGCAAAATGACAACTTTCGTGTTTCTTATTGGTTTTAACCTGAACTTAGGCAAATATTACGAACAGTGTTACTAATAAGGAGGGAATTAATTCTTAAGTCTGTCTGAATTCTTCACCAAAAACAAAATTAAGCTCAAAATTAAGCTGAAATGCTCTATTTAGAGAGGAGGTCTTATTGTTTGTATTATGTAGGGTGTTGGATCAATGTTTATGTTGCCCAGGTTAGCAGCTGCATGCCTGAAGTGAAGATACAGTACTGTGGGAACATTGTGGCCCAGTACCCCAAACACCAACAGAAGTGCAGAGGGCAGGCCTGCCACTCAAGCCCCTGTTCTTCTCACTGGTCAAATGACATGCTGATCCTGAAGGACAATGACAATACATTTTGCCTGTGCATAGCAGACAGGACATGCTGCAGCACCACCACACTGCTGGCACACAGAGGAGACCCAACAACAATGCACAGGGCACACATTCCCACACCTTACTTCCAAGGGAACAGCAAAGGACATCTTCTACAAGCCAACAAACTTCATGTAAAAGTTCCAGCTGCAAACTAGACCTTTGGAGTCACTCCCCTCTTTCCTCCTATTCCCCCAGTATTTGTGTCACCTCCTCAGGCAAAGGACCAGACACCTCAAAACAGGGTCACTGCAGCTGTAATGTGATACACAGTCCTAAAAAGGCATTTCCCATCTGGGACCTGGCTCCATGAGCTCAGTCATGTAAATAAAACAGATAGGATCCCGAAACTAGACTCCAGTAGTACTCAGTGGTATAGTTCTAGAAATAGTTTTTTTTCTATTTTTTGAGAAAGCAATATATGTTTTCCTGCAGCAAGTTCCTGTATTATGTGATACTTGGGGGTTTTTTATTTTACGCATAGATACAACATTTAAAACCCTTTTTTTTTACAAAAGTTTATTTTCCACAAGGAAGAGCAATAGGAAAAATTAAACTGTTTTCCACATACTGTTTTCTTAAAACAAGAGTCTACAAGGACATATTCAGCACCAAAACTAAAAACAAAAAAAAAAGTACGAACAGCCATAGAATATAGTCTATAAAGCAAACACTTAATATTGCACTTTGTTTCTCTAATGTTTGGATTTTACTTACTTTTCCCTAATTCAGATCAGAATTATCTATCAAATACCGGGTTTCAACTGTGAACCTCAAGTTTTATAATGCTGAGAACTGACCAATATTTGTGGGAGAGTAATGCCTCTGAGTAATTTAAACTGTAAGTCTTTATTTGATAAGCTTATACAATTATTCATTCTAATCACAAAGGCTGTAATGCCAAGTCAATTACTATGACATTGGTCGATCCTGCCTCATATGCGATTTTCCATTGTATTGTGCTAAGTACTTTAATGCTATGTATATCAGCAATTGTTCCCTAGTCTGTAAAAAGACAAAAAAAGGAAAAAAAAGTAAAACCACCAAATGCCCTTTTATACCAACAATCCCATCAGCATTAAAAATTGTCTGGTTGGAGAGGGTAGAGGGAAGGGACATCCACAAAATTGGCCTAGTAGCATCATCCAATTTCCCTCTTGCCAATATTCCCGCTCAAAGCCCAAGCCTTTTAACTGAATCACTTAAAACGCGACTCATTTGTATTTTATCACCCTGTTGTCATTTTTGAAACATGAATGATCTTTCATGTTCTCATAAAGGCCACTTATGGAAAAGCCTATTTTGTCGCATTTATGAAGCCTTAAAAACAAGGCAAAGGTTTTTAAAAACGAGCACCATGCAGAAACACCAGCCTCGTCTCTCCCACTCTCTTCAGAGCTTTTTTATTGCACAAGGAGACAGGTATTTGATGGATTAGATCTTGATTTGTTCAAATACTCAAGACCAGAACAGTGTCCCTTCGTCAGTGATCTGTGTTCCACAGTTTCTGAAGAGCAAAGTTGACTTCCATTGTACATCTCCAGCATCTAAGCACTGGTATTTGTTAGCACAGGTAATGGCTCCATTGCACTCTTCTCCCTGGGGCACACTCAAGGGCAAGTGCTCTTTCCATATGATTTTGTTGCATTCTGGATGAATACATGGTATAATTCAGAGTTCTGTTTGTTTTAAAGCTCTTGAGAGTGCCACAGAAAGACGCAGTTATCAAAGCACTTCCACCTAACTCATATTTAAGTATGGCTGGTAACACTGATCTTTCTTGCTTTAATTATACTTCTAATCTTGTACAGTATCATGAACCCTGAAGGTAATACAAAGTGCACAAACTGAGCTCTTAGCATAAAAGAAGCTTTTCCTGCAGTTTGAAATATACTTTCTACTAGACTCATCAGATACAGCATTTTTGGTGATTAAGTAGCTATATATAAAAATAAATTTACTTTCCCTTCCTATCTCTACTACTTGAGATATTGATCTGTCTGTGAATCTAGACAGTGTATGACCACTTCCTTTTAATAGTCTTTTGAGGAACAGCTGGTGTCTGCTGGTGCTGCTTTCATTTGTGCCTTTTTTTTTAAGAGCTTCACAACTTGAACATCTTTTTTTATAATGCAGAAATAGAAATGGGAATGAGGAGGATTTCATAACTTTTGTGTATGTCCTTATTCCAGATCTCCCTCTCAAATAAAGAACAAAAAACAAAACACAAACACAAAAAAAGAACTAATTCAACAGTGCAACATAAAAAACCAAATAGCATTCCAACAGTTTGGCAAGTGATAAGTTCACCTGAGATTAAGTGATTTTTAGGCAGTCTGTAACAAAATGCTGCGTTGCAATAATAGTAGAAAGGCAACAAATTCTTAAAAAAAATCAAGAAAGTATACAATCTTGACAAAGTCTATTAGTTTCTTTCTATTAACTCTTCACCCTCCCACCCTATCCCCATATCTGTTGCTTATCTACTACAGTAGGCTGCAAAACATACAGCAAGTAGGATTGGCTTGAAGGCATTTGATGTTTGTAAAATAAATCCACAGTAGGATCCAAGCTGAAGAGGTGATACATGATCAGCCTGCTAGGACAATTCTGAGCATGTGCATATGCAGGTAAAGTCCAGGCTACATTAAATTAAAAAAAGAAGAAAAGTCAGTGCATTTGTCGAAGTCTGTTGCTGTTGGGTTGTTTGTTTGTTTGTTTATTTTTGTCAAAGCTTTCTTTTGCTCCTTATTGTGCGGACCACAAGACATAAGAAAGGGGTAGCAACTGTCCGGCGTAAATGAGGAAAAGCTGTAGTGACACTGAACCGCACAATGTAAGCAATAAGCATGTGCAAATTTCCAAATTGTAAGAGGAAGCCAAACCTCTCTTAATGTGGTTTGGGTGTTTGGACACACATGACTGTAGGTTAGTAAGGCTGCTCCTAGTATGTGCCAGTATTTAAGAAGGAGGGGGGAAAGCTCAGTTCTTCAAGAATGTGGAGCAGTCCTACAATGTTACTGTAGGCTTCAAAGCATGATCACAGGTTGTTTTCATTTATTCACCACACAGGCAAGAGCAAACCCACTTTCTTTGAAAGTGTGTCTTCCACTATGATGCCTTGACCTTCAACACAACAGGTATGATTCCAAACCCAAGTCAAGTCAGCTTCTTACGGATTCTTTCAACGAGAAGGGCAAGATGGTCTGTCGTCTGTGGGATGATCTGGGTTCGGATCAATCTAAATAAAAGAGAAAAAACCACAACAACCCAAGGTATTTTTAGTACTGATTGCTAGAGAATAAAACAATCCAAACACCAAAATTTTTAAGTCCAAGACTGTCAGAGATAAATGCTATTCCCAATCTGAAAGTTACTCAGGTAACTGAAGTACCTCTAAAAATTAGATAAAACTTTGAATTGAAAATTACAAAGTATAGTAAAACATTTTAAACTGCACATTGACGGTAGCTTAAGAATAAGCACAAACATGTAATAAAAAATTTTAAAAAATCTGCTATAGTAGCACAAATGTTCTAAATTATTTATTGTGTAAGACACCACACCCATCACGTTAACATGCAGCTTAAAATCCGAAATTGATTTTGGAAGACATTTTACTTAAAATGGCACAAAATTATTAGTAAAAAGTTCTTCTACTTAATTTGTAAGTAATGAATTCTGAAAGACCCCATAAAATGTTTCAGAAGTTCATATGTACCACACAGCACCACATTTTCCTTTCAACAAAAGGAAGGTGATGAAGAAGAACATGGTCTCTAACCTAGGTCTCCAAAACTCAATAGGAAGTATAGTTTAAGTGGACACTATATAGTTTGGTCAGTTATTTTAAAAAGACATTTTTTAGAACAAAGGAAAAGCTGACTTCTAAATATTTAGAGTACCTAAAATGAAAAGCTCCAGAGTTGTATTCTAGGCTTATGTTATAGAAGAGACACAAAAAACATGCCATGCACCCATTCACTAGCAGATTAAGTACTTCAAGAGGAAAACAAACAATCATGAGTGGGTGGATCCAGGCAAGATTTAGCCAAAGGACACTACTGTATTTTGTCCTATACCACTATTTTTCCCTGAAAAATATGAGCATGGCTTTCGAAGGTTTTGAAGCCTGGACATGTGTCCCAGTTATTGAGTGACTTTCACAGAACTGAACTTGCAGACAGAAACATTTGAACTGTGCATTTAGAGAAACCTGAGCCAGAAAGAACACCTTTGAAGCTTCTCTGCATGGAAATTCTGAAAGTAATACATACAAAGAGCTAAAAATACAGAGTACTTTTAGAGCAGAGGTGAAAAACAGTTTGTTTTGCATCTATAGTCTGAAAACGTTGGTATTCATTAATGTCATATATAACTGCAATAATTTGCTGAGAGAGTGCAAAACGATTTTGGAATCTCTATGAAGCATTACAATAGTAAAGAATCCTGGAAATTTTTTGATGCAATTTATCTGCACTTTGCTAAAGCTAAGTTACCTTTTCACCTTTTCATATTTTTGCTTATTTGTCCTGGTTTTCACAAAGCAGAAACAGCTTCTTATGTTTATTCCACATGGCAGAATTCAAAGAAACAGTGTATTCATAATTATATTTTGAGGTACCTACTTCTGAATAGAGGGGTGGAGGAAGAAAACGAAATTCCTGGATGTATGCAAACAGTGGTCCTGGAAGCGCTCTCTCAAAGTCATCACAAACACCTAAGGGTGCAAGGCTGGACTGCCGTTGTTCCTCCGTAACCACTTCTGCATAGCTGGGAGGTGCTGCAGGGAAAAGGCACACGCAGTTCGAACAACAAGTTCTTATGCATGTCAAAACATATAACATGATAAATATTAAACTTTTATATTGTAAAATGCACCAGCATTTAGATATTACTTCTGTGACTTTTACACAGTTACTGAATGTGAAAAAGAGGGTAGGTTGCTATAGTTTATTTTACAACTATGCTCAAATCCAACAGCAGACTGACCATTGCTCATTGAGGCTTAATTATCACCTTCAGATTTAAAGCATACTCAGAATATCAAATTTCTGTTACAGGGAGGAATGACAGAACATTGCATTCCTCTGGACTGCATCATCAGTCTGGGATTTGTACATTAAAACCCCCATATGTTTATATGCAAGAGAAGCTACAGAACTTCTCCTTTGACAAAAGAGATTCCCACTGAAATGGATTACATTATGGTTTCACAATGTCTTGGCTATTAGGTATGATAAAGGTCACCTTAACTGCTACTCTGACAGGTTACACTGACTTACAACCAAGGATACACTTGGGATACTGGAGGCAGAATTAATTCTGCCCAGGTACAATGGCATTCTGTGCTTTCACTTGTACCAGCTTCCAAGCATCTGCATTCCACTGCTTGTGAGGAGAGAGGAAGGCAAAGAGGGGAACTCCATTCTTCTACAGAGAGCAAGCAGGTAGCAAGGAAACATCCTCAAAGGACCTTCTATGGACCTTATTATGAAGGATGTAATTTGTGTCTGTTTGCATGACAGCAATGAATAAAGCACACAAAAATCAAAACAGACTTGTTTTGTCAGGTTACCTTCTGGTCTTTCGGGCAGTGTCAGACCAAGCCAATTCATGTTCATGCTACACTGGCTGCTTACACTTGAAGTTCTGCTACCAAATGGGTGTAGAGGAATGGTGCCAATGACCAGTGGTAAGTTAAGGAATAAATCCATGGCGCCAGGAATATCCACATATACCTAAAGAACAATAAAAAAGTATAGATTAAAAATAGATTTGTGTGAGCACTTCTTAATTATTAGACTAAAATCTCCAGCCATGTAATTTTTCACAAGTGGCTGAAACTTCACTTTGATCATTTCAGAGCCAATGTCTCTATGGAGACAAATAGCCCTCCAAGACAAAGGCAGCTCTATACTCTTCACACAAGTCCTCACACGGAAATGTCACATACTCATAACACATTTCCTTAGAACGTGCAAGATTTAAACTGAATTTACTTATAGATTTCATTTGTGCCATTGTTATATATATTGTTATATATATATATATATATTCCTATATATAGGAAATATATGCTAGGCTATATATTTCTTCTGTAACTAGTTAGCGGTTCACAAAGCTTTATTAGCAATTTTGCAAGGAATCATGGAAACTACTCATGCTCCAATGAAACTATCCAACATACCATCAGTGAATACTCCACACGGATTATACTACAGTCAAGGATTGAAGGAGAAACAGGTGGAATTTTCAACTGTTTGCCATTCCAGGTTTCTGTTTTGCCAGATGACAAGGAATCCCCACGAAGGCTGGCAACAAGCTGTTTGACTTCCTTCATTTTCCCTTTGGCATAAAATGCCTGTGTTTGGTAAATGGCTGCCTTTGGCACCACCACACGGGAAGAGCAGTTCTCAATCTCAGCAAAGATCTGAATTGATTCACCTGAAAAAAAACCAGCATTTCATTTTTCCTATGTATTTGCAAGTCCGCTGAATTTGCCACATACTGTGTACTGTTATAAGACACTGGATGCTGCTAGCAATGCTCCACACTTTGAACAATATCCACTGATGTTAGCAGGAGTAAGGTCACCATGAGGTAAATCTAACAGAAAAATGCACAGGCCCAATAAAAGCAGATGGTCTTTAACAATATGGAGACAGAGCAAGCTAACAAAATCAGTTGTTTAAAATAGCAAATGAATGCAAACCAAAATGGTTAAGAATAGTTTAAGTATTTATTTTACATAACAGTCACTAAGTACACAGTGTCATTTTAAAAGGGAAGGAAAAACATTTCCTATAATTACTTCTGTTACGTACCTGGGGTGTAGCCCTTCCTTTCAATTTTGGCACTTAAGGATATTGGGCCTGAGGTACAAAACCAACAACAGAGAGTTTTTTCTTTTGTGCCTGCTTGGGGTGACTGCAATAAAAGAACAATATTTTCCATGTAATAGAGTGCTCCATGAGTCTTTTAATCTGTTCTAATCAACATCCAAAAATTTTATTATATACTTTCTATGAATTTTGATAAGCATATCTAGTTCTATTTAGAGGAAAAAACCTCAAGCAAATTGCACTACACAAACTGTAAACTTTATTCTAATTCCATACTCATTAACACTGCTTTTCTGCTACTTTCTGCTACACTTCATACTGCAGTTACACTTAAAACAAGTTTTTATACATAAATAAATTTAGCACAGCTTAAGGAAAGGCTTTATAACCTACATATCCCACCATATTGCTGAAGAACTTTTAATTTACCAGTAAACTAGAATGTCTATCTCTATGCAGTATAGTATTTCAGAAACAGTAACTAAGGTGAAGTCCTGTAAACCTTGACTCCTGCTATTTCCTGTTTCAAAATGTTCCTATTTCATCTGTATTAAACAGACTTTGTTATTTTACATGACACCAGGATTTAGGACTTGATTCAAAGCCCATTAAAGTCAAATGAAGTCTTTTTGATTTTAATGGAACTTATGCAAGGCCAATGTCCCCTTGCAAGTCTGATTTTTCACCCATACACACAAGAAACCTATTTCAATGGATTTTGAGAATTTTTTCCCCTCTCTATGGGGGGTGAATTTGAAGAAGAGTGGGGGGAGGGGGGCGGAGATGGAATTTAGACCTGATTGAATTCAAATCCTCATTGAAAGGAGCTGTGATACTGAAATTATTTTAATGAAATGACATTTCATTAAAAGATTATAGAGCATTGTGATAATTTCTCCCCATTGGTAGAAAACAATCCATATGAAAATGATCAATTATGTACACCAGTACATTATTTACTTTGCATTTTTAAGTTTGCAGTCTTTCACAATAATTCTTTTAAGTGTCACTGCTCTTTCTTCAGAATCAAAGAACAGTTCTCTCAAAATTTTCCTTCTTACTCACACTTAACAATTTTGTATTAATTGAAATTGACAAAACCATTTTACATATCTTAAAAGTAAAGCAACTCCAAGTACAGAAAAACCTAGCTTTCAAAATGCCAGTACTTACAGAGCTGCAGAACTAATGTAATACTTAGAAGATTGACTGTAACTAGGTATCGACTAAGTATCAGGTAATGTATTAGGTAAAATTAGATATGGATATCGTTTCAGTTATTAAACGTCATTATTTTTGTATGCCAGAAACAAAAAATGAATAATTCTGTCAATTCTTACCAGTAATGAAGGAGTGTTGATATCTATATGTTCAAAGACTGTAAATTCCTTCTTTAATTTTACTGGTAGAAACCAAGGCCTATGCAATTCGGCTTTCACCCAATAGCGCACACTGCCATGTCTGCCTTCGAATGAGGTAGCAAGTGGTCTGTGCAGGACACAAAGGTCAAAACTGAGTAAAGTCTTTCTGTCTAATAATGATACAATTGATCAAGTCAGTGATTAGTATATAGAACTGCATTTTTAATGCACTGTAGTACTTAATGTATAGTATCTCAGAAAAATTCAAGATTAAAGATGGGAGAAAAAATCATCTCCAATTTACCCTACTATAGTTTTTCATAGATTTTAGGAATCAATTGAAGAATTGTACTCGAAAATGCCAGGAGAGCACAGATTTTCTTTAAGCTTAAGAGGCCACTTCCACATCTAGGGTAAAGTATGCCCTTTTGACTACCAATTTAGAATTACCATTAGTATCAACCAATTATAGTTTTGGATATCACCTTTTGTAAGCAATTGTGTATTATTTACTTGGTCAGTAGCTCAACATCAGCATAATTTTAGCTGTAACTCAGCACTTCCATAGTTAGGCTCACCTTAACAGAGTAAATATTACAACATGGTGTTCTGAAGAGGGGCTATTTTGAGCACCTTCTAATCTTTCTCTACCTGATGAGACAGCTTAAAACATTTATAATACCTAAGAATGTACTCATACAGGCATATATGTATTTATATATACATATAAAATCATGAAGACTACTCTGAAATTTGTCAAATGAAGAAACCTATTTTAGAAGCTGGAGGAAAGATGATGCAGGTAGTTTTTCCAGACCAGTGAACATTGCCTTTTTTATTGCAGTACATAAAATGAAAGATAAAGTTTCCTTGAAGTTCAATTATTTCAAATTAACAGTAGTTTCTCTAACTTACTCTCTTTATTTTTGTAAGTATTTTCTTGCATTTTACTATGTTCTGAATACACCGATATATATATTAAAATAAAGTATTTGTAACATTTCCTATTTTCCACAGAGAGTAATACTAGCCATGCTAGGGCTTAACGAGAATTATTCTTTCAGTTACAGGTTTGGCTTCACTTGTGCACATTTGAAATGCTTAGTTTTTTCTCCTAATAATGCAATTAAAACTTTAGTTTCGTTCTGTCCCATATTCTGTAGAGGAAAAATCAGTAAGGATGATGCACATCTTTCCACTGTTGCTCTGAAGTTTAAGTCAGTTTTGGACATATTGTATGGACACAAAATAGCAAGTAAGTAGGCAGCATCAAAGTTCAGTCTTTTAACATCACTTTTTGTTTTTCCAGTATTATTAAAAACTGAGCTAATAGGCATTCTTTCATGGCACTTAGAAAGAACCAATAATATGACCAATGCTTGTTGTCTTTTGCTATCTCTCTGTTTCACTTCAAGCTAAACAATTCATGTTCATGTTTTTAATGTTTTGGGGTTGGGATTTTTTTTTTGTTGTTGTTTTTTTAAATGCCCCTTTAAACTCAAGGGAAAATCAGTTCTGGCCTTACTGTTGAGATTTTCACAGAATGCTAAATTGTCTTTAAAATCTCCAAGTTCACCAGTCTTCCCAGAAAATCTTACTGAAACAATGTAGAAGTTCTGTGCTGTTCACTTTGAAACTGTAGAAAGTTTGAAACTTTCAAAGTGTTTGCCATTTAAACATTCTGCTAAAACCTGCACCTCTAATAAAAAACCTTAATATTACGCAGTGAACTTATTCACTGGCTCATTTTTCATCCATACTCATACTCCCTCTCTTCCTGTGTACTTGATTTTACTGGAACTTGTAGTTTTAGCTCATTTCCGTATTTCCAACCCTACTACACCCAATCTTGCATCCACAGTGCCAACATTACATATTTCAGACAGGAGTGGGGCAACAATTTTTATCTTACCAGAACAAACTTTTGCTCTTACTCTTGCTTTGCCTTTGTTTTCTAAAACAAATGGGATTTGGTACGAAAATTATTCTTATTCTATCCACCCATTCTTAAGTTTGTTTCCATCCAGGCTTTCTGCATTAATAGCCATCCCTGGGTACATACATCCTATCTGAATAAGAACAACCTCCTCTTTTGTTGAAACCTAAGTAAACTAGCCACATCTGTTCCAGACTTGAGCCCAAACAATTCCGCTGTGATCTTATCTCTAGTTCTGCTGGTCTGCATAACTCCAGTAAATGGATGAGTTAGAAGGTATTTCAGCTACTCTGCAGGACTTCAGTGGCCGTTCAAATTCCTCTCCCTCCTTTTGGGAAGGGGTAATAGACTGGAATACCTAGTCAGTCAGACTTGGTAAAAAGGAAGTGAGCAACTGGGCAGCAGTGAGCTCCTTTTTTGTGGAAATTTTTTTCAGAAAAGATTGGGTATATCAGTGTAAAAGCAACCTCTTCCGTTTAAAGAGATTATGTTCTCTACTGCATGTTATGAGCACAATTCCTACTACCATTGAAAAGGTTTTCCCTCCACCCACAGCAGGAGTTTTGGTCAGGTGGGTGGGCAGTAGAGCCCTGCGTGCAGGACTGTGAGTGGGTACTTACGTCTGTGGAAGCTCGAAGCTGAATGCATATTCATGCCTTCCTGAATGGATGGTGTGAAGGCCTTCTTCTGAATTGTCATCGTCTAAAAGAGAAAAAAACCAACACGGTAATCCAGCTGCACACATGTTATACCTTGTGTGGGTTTCTCTTCCAGAAAAAAAACTAATTTGCTCAAACATTACAACACTCAAAGAATGTGACATCCCAGGAACAAGGGTCTCCAGTCCATTAGTTATTAACTCCTGGAATGCAGGGCCAACTCTGACTGACAGAAAGGTAGGCAAGACTGCCAGCTTCGCCTTAGAGAGAAGCAGAGGTTACTGTTTTAATATAATCCTGGCTCTGAACAGTGACACAGTTTCAACTGCTGCCATTTCAAGGCCTCCATTCAAGGTCTGTAAAGGAAATCATGCTGCTTTCCACTGCAGTTGCTAGTCAGAATGAACTAGAGCTGGCTTTTTACCAGCATTAACAGTATCAAGTCTGCTGCTTAAGATTAAATTTAGAAATTCAGCTTCTTTGTATCTCCTGCCTGGCAACAGCGTCCAGACATTAATCACACACACACAAAAAAACCCGTGTGAGAAAGGAGTAAGAGTATATGAGCAACACCCAGAAAGTACCCGACATACTCAGGGGCATAGAAAATGGCAAGTTGCCCAGTTAATACTATCGAGAGCTCAACCTTTAATTTCTTTAATAAATTAACTTGATCTTGCTCAGACAGAGCACAGATACTTTCTGGTTTTATGTCAGGAATGCCAACCATTGTTTAGGGTCACGATTATTTGTCCAGCTTCAAATGTCACAAGAAAATTGCAGCCTATTCTGACATCAAACCAGAAAAACACTGACTCGTTTAACATAAAAATTGAGTGAAAAATGACTGAGCACCTCGCAGATAAAACGGGTTGGAATGATAAAAGGGGTTATAGCGAGACAAAGTGAAAGGGAACAGCTTATGTGCGGCCCTCTGAAGCACTAATGGAGGCATGCAGAAGCGTTCTAAGTTTCTGCTGTCCTATAGAAGAGCCGATGCTCTACTTCCTGCAGCGCAAATAACGAAAATTTAAAAACAAATGAACAAAACAAGCAAAAAAAAAAAAAAAAACCAAAAAAAAACCCCACAAAAACCTCCTATCAGCGAGATGTGGAAACAAATACACCTTCAGCATGCAACTTTACTCAAGGTAGGTCAGGAAAATGTGCTGAAAAAGCGAGACGGTGTGCTTTTATACTGTTGATTTGCTTTTGGGGTTTTTAAAAATAAGTATGATTTATTTATTTTTGTTTAATTTTGCTCCGAGGGGGGCAGCGCTGCTTTCGGCGGTGGCTGCGCTACTCTCCGCCAGGCTCCCAGCCCCTTCCTGCCAGCTCAGCAGTCCCGCCACGCCGCGGTAAACAAGTGCTGAGCTGTCAATCAGCGCAGGCTGGAGCAGGAGCCGACCGGCCTGAACCGGCGCGCGCGGAGCGCCGCCAGCCTCGCCGTTCTCACACACTGCGTGCGCTGCGCCCGCCGGCTCCACACCGAGGGCGGACCCTTCCGCCACCCGCGCCAGGCCTAGACCGCTCAGGTGATGGGACCGGCGACAGCAGGCGGCAGAGACGAGACTCAGGGCAGAGCATCCCCCTGCCCTCTCTCTCTGAGGGGCTTTGCGCCGAGCCAGCGCCTCGGGGAGCGGCCCCAGCCCGCCGGGGGCAGGCAGCGAAACCGGCTCCCTCACCCCCGCCGCCAGCACTCCGCCAATCAGCGGCGGGCATCGCCTTAGCAACAGGGCAACAAACCACGTCCGGCCAATCAGGGGGCGGCGGGGGGCGCGGCCGGCCCGCGGGTCGGCGCTCGGGGCAGTCATTGAAATGCGGCCGCCGGCAGTGGCTCCGCGAGGCCCCTGTCCCACCCGCTCCCACGCGTGCTCCCCCCGCCACGGGCAGCTCCTGCGTGGCTGCAGATTCCCGTCGCCAAGTTCTTGGAACCAGCTCTTGGTCCAGAGGTGCGGGAAGTCACGCTCGGGTGAGTGATTTCTGAGGCGGTGTCAGGAGACGGGTGGGAGCCGCAAGTCCCCTCGTTAGCGCTGTGTGCGCGAGACATGAAGCAAATAAAAAAAGTCCCGAGTTCTGCAACAGATTTGGTCTCGGGAATACTGTATGAAGGGCTCCGTGCCGCCCGGAGTTGTTCAAAAATTACATTTATTATTTTTTTCCGGAAAGAACGAGACATATCGCATCGCTGCAGTGTATAGGATGCATATTCGGGGGGGGAAAAAGGGGGGGGGGGTGACAAGCAGCACAAAAAATTACATAACCGGTTTTTAACATTATTTTCTTGCGCTGGGGAATTAAGTCATCGCCACCACCTGACGCGCGCGGCCAATCTGCGCGGAGCGGGCGGCCCACCCCCCTCCTCCAAAGCCGGTCCCAAACAGGATTGAACCGCTTCGAACAAAGGCTGCGAAGTTCGGAGGAAAAAGAAAAAAACACAGAAAACCCCCGGACCCAGGCGCTTCCACCCCGCCCCGGGGAAGGGGTCTGCGCTTCGTGGGAACACCACGGCGACTCGAGTGGGAAGTGGGGAGCAGGAGGTCCTCATCTCCCCAGTTTTGGGAGAGATGCTTCCATTACGCAACACCACTTCCCCCCTCTCTCTCCTCCCCCTCCTTCTGCTTCTCATCAAGGGCTTTTCGGACACACCTTTATATCGGGGTGACCCCCAATGCCGAGCGGTGTGTAGGGGCAGCCCAAGGAAATTAAATCTTTTTACGAGGGCGAGGGTAATACTGAAATGAGGAAAAAATTACACGTGGGGTGGTGCTATATCAAAATAAGCCAGGGAGACTCTTTTTATCTGCCAATAATCAGCCATCGTGAAAAATTCATTGTATTATCACCCCAACAGCATCAGCAGAACCCCGCACGTATCAAAAAGTACGATTTTTACGCTTTCATTACGTTTCAATTAAGATTCTGCCAATTAAGTCTGCTGCCTATCTGGCTGTGATTTTACAGCTGTTTTATCCCACGGAACGGCAAATCCTACTAAATATCACAGGGAAAAAAATAGAAAAAAAATTAGAACACTCGGGAAAAAAAACTTATTAACATATGGCCGTACTGAAGGGTAAGTAGTTCAAAGAGAGTCCTCCTCCTGCTTGCAGGTACTTTGCAAATGCATCTCCCATATGTAACTCCATCGCCAAGATACGACCCTGGCCATGTCCTGCTCTCCAGGGCTAAACCGGTGTGACACAAAGATGCATGCTTTTTTTCCATAATAAAATAAAGCATCACAGTTAAGGGCAGCCCTTACCTCTCTCATGGCCGATCAGGATGTCTTTATGGTTGAAATATTCCACTTCTTCGGTGTAGTTCTGTGTATAGGCAGTGTTGGATCCAGCATTCCTCGATTCAGTCCAACGTACTTTAGCGTGTCCCCTCGCATGGATTTTAAGGGATTTCACTCTAATTTCCCCAGTTACTTCTAGACTGACCCTTCCTGAGACTGTATCCCCGCTAGAGTACACAGGGACGTTGCTGTCATTCAGACAGTCAAAGCTTATCGTCAGACTCTTCACCTTCCCCAGCACCATGGTTTTATAGCAAAGTGTACAAAAATAGATTGTAAGAAAAAAAAAAAGGGGGGGGGGGAACCCAAAAACAACCAACCCCGAGCCCCTGGGGCACAGGGGTGCGGCGGCGCGGACCCTACAGGCGGCTCATGGGGGCGGCGGGGAGCCCCGGCCCGGCCCGGCGCGGCGCGGGCGGCGCTGGTGCCGACTCGACGTGTCCCCACAAAGGCGCTGCCGTGCCGCCGCCGGCCCCGCCTTATAAGCCGTGTGACAAACAAGCGCGAACGCGCATGCGCCGCCCCGCCCTGGCAGCGCCGCCTTCGGAAAGCCGCGGGGGGGCAGCGGGCTTTGTGCGCGCTGCTGGCCGGCCGGGCGGGCCGGCTCCGCGCAGGTGGGTGCTCTCTTACTGCAGCCGGCGGCCCCAAGGAAGATGGCAGCATTCCAGCTTCTACGAGCATTCCAGCTTCTTTCATTTTCAATGAAAGTTGTGCTTCGCTTAAGAGACCTTTTTCTGAAACTGGCAAATTATCTCGTCTCTTGGTCATTGGGTTTTGGGTTTGTTTCGTTGGCTTTGGCTTCGTCTTTGGTTGGTTGGTAGGATTTTGCTGCTTTGGGCGTTTTTTTGCGTTTGTTTGATTAGGTTTGGTTGGGTTTTTTTGTTTTTTTTGGGTAGGTTTTTTTTGGTTGGGTTTTTTTTTTTTTTTTTGGTTTTTTTTTTTGTTTTTTTTTTTTTTTTTTCCCCCCCCCCCCCCCCGTGTGTGTGTGTCTAAAGATAGGAAAGAAGTGAGAAAAGCTTGATAGGAAATTATACAAAAACATAGCAAGAAATACGAAGCAGTCCTGGCTTTCAGGTAGTATGTATTGTACTGTGTGCGAATCGTCTCTGTAAACTTTTGAAAATAAGTACTGATTCATCTGAATTTAACTATTGCAGAATCAATTAGTGCCCCAGTAATACAAACTACATTGCTGCAAATCCCCCTGGAATCCTCCAAATGTTGGTTTGGTTTTTTTTTTTTCATTATTATTACTTTGGTAGTTCTATTTCTCTGGTAAATGCTTTGGGTTTGGTTATTTAATACTATGTTAGCTAATTTTTACACACTTCCACGGTGACAAAATATTTTCAGTGAGAAGTATGATGCTGGTGGATGACATCGCCCAAGACACTGTGCTTTGGGGAGACTAAACTGAAATACTAACGTTTCATGCCAACAGTTTGAAAGTGTTTGCCTATTCTTGCTGGGTTTTCTCAAGTAAAAGAAGTCATATTTTCTTTGGCCTGGTGGATATTCTCTTGTGTTTTTTGTGGCCAAATGGGTTGAAGTCTTGTGGGTGAATTAGAACTTTCTGTGCTTTTGCACCATCTTGTGGTAAGCATTCATACTTTCTTAGCTCATAGAATCATTGAGGCTGGAAAAGACCTTCAAAATCCTGAAGTCCAACCATAAAAAGAATACTTGCAAGAGAAGCAGAGGTGATTTGATTCCTCTTCTGACAGTGCTTTTCCTTTTCCTCTCATGCCTTCAGACTCAGGTGGTCTCTTACATGTGTTTGTTTGCACATTTTTCTTCTGTAATTTAAAAGATAATGGTGTATTTCATGAGTCGTAAAAGCCACAATTCTATGGTCTCCAGTTGCTATAGGACTTGAGAAAACTGGCAGCCAGGTGGGATACAGCTTTCATCCGCAGGGCTTGGGTCATATCTCCTGTCCTGCCAATTCTGGGCTAGTTCTTAATGTTCACCTGCCCAAGGACAAATCTGCAGACATGAGAAAGAGCAATTGCATTTTCCAGGAAGCTGAAGATAGATATCTATTATTCTAGTGGATATTCATCTGGATTTTAATTTTTTAAAAAATCTAAATGGGTAAGGAAGAGAATCATCATGCATAGTTGGGGTACATGCAGTGTGTTTTGTATACTGCTTGCATTTGCCTATTCCAGAGTTGTTGAAGGATACAATACTTTGCTAAGTTGCAGCAAATCATCCCCTGTATATACCCTGCAGACCTCATAGCCATGTCTTACCCCCCCTTTCACTATACACCAGTCATCTCCTAGATCACCATAGATTTGTGTATGGTGATTTAAATCTGGACCACTGAAAAGGCTGGCATGATTTAATTAATCATGTGTTAAGCATACTAAACTTGAGATTGACAGTTCTGCAGAAGAATCTATGTATGTGTATGTATGCATTTCCCACATCCTTCCAAAAGTCACACATATGCATTTAGCTTCTGCTGCTCTTTTTAATACTTCTCATAGTGTATTCATTTTACTTTTGTGTTCCTAAAGTATACGCTTCATGCCACCATGTGGTAAAGGTGCTGAAGTTTTGCCTTTCACCAGTCTCTGGTCTCTGCATTTCTGCAAAACTGATATTTTTCTGTGAAGCCTTTTTGTCAGAATCAAAAAAACTCAAAATGAAAAAATAATGTAAAAGCTTAATTTGGTTTTATTTAAATGGAGAACATACTACTAGGTTTAGCCAGAAATATTTAGCAGGGTTTTTTGTCAGATGTTTAGTTAACCAAATATTAGTTATTTTTTGGGATTCAAGTTTTTGTATTTGTCAGATGTGCTTATCTTCTAGTTAAACATTAAAAGTTTTATAGATCCTGACACAGGATTTTAAAAATTGGTTGCAAAGATGATTAGATCTTACCATCTTAGATCAACAATAGGCAGTGAAGACTTTGTACAAACGTGAAATTTCGGGAGCCTTCACTAACCTTTTACAGGCCTTATGCACAATGCAGTCCTCAAAAATTCTCATAAAGTTTTTTAAAAAATATTTGTTTAATTAATTAATCCAGTTTGGTTTTTTGGTTTTTTTTTTTTTTTTTTTTTTTTAACTAGCAAAATTCATGATGCTCTCTGCCATTGGAGTCAGTAGCTCCAAGGAAGACGGCAATATTATAGCCTCCATGCAGGCATAAAGATTTTACCTCACATTACAAACCCTTTATTGAAACGGGCAAGCTTTCCCTTGTTTGTCATTTTTTTTCTTTTTTTTTTTTTTCTTGGAACTTTTAAAATTATTTCTCCTTTTAAAATTATCATATTAAAAAAAAAATTTAAATTTGTTGTGTGCCTAGTTTTGCACATTTGTGCATGCCTAGAATTCTCCATGTGACAACCTTCATGTGACCTAATGGTACATTCATGCTGAAGACCATTCAAAATCCAGAGGTTAGGTCCATTTAGCATCTTCAGCTAATCAGTCTTCTCACTGTGCACTGATAAATCTGCAAGGGTGAGTGTAATGTACAATGATCTTGACAACAGTCATTATGTTTTTCTAAAAGCAGCTTTTCCCAGAAAAGCTTGGAATGTTCTCCTGACTCATTAGTGAACTAGTTAGTAGGAAGATCCAGGCTTTGATCTCATCTTCTTGCAGACCATCCTGGTTTGAGACTAGGTCTGGTTTTTGTGGAGACAGTGTTTGCCCTCTCTGTGAAGCTGTTTCTTTGTACATCAGAGAATGGGCTAGAGTGAGTGTCAGAATAGAAGCTATGTGTTTTCTGAAGGTTAACATGCCCTTATCAAAGGCACAATCCTGAAAAGTAAACACATGCTTCAGGATGGTTTCTGTATTTTGTGCAGTGAATGAATGAAAAATGTAAAATATCTGCCTAATGAACTCATTTCAGTTCATCCTTGTTGTGTCTGATCCCAAATCCATTCATAAAAATAAGAGAAGTAAAATTTGCCCTCATCATACCTGTTGTGAGTCTACGTTTGTGAAATATGGTTACATTAAAATATAGAGTGGTGAGATAAAAATGTTGATTTATGATACTGTAGATGTGTGTACTGAGGAACTGTTTCCAAAACTCCTGAATTCAGAAGGATGTCTGCAGACCTTCCTTTTGAACTATGTTCACTGGAACAGTTGTTCAGCTGTCAGAGTTGTAGAAAGAAGAGAAAATTTTGCTAAATAGGCTTCCTTTGGGCTTGTTTTTTTTAATGGAGAAATCATCAGTGATGGAAAGAAACTTGGAGTTTGTGAAACTGTTTCCTGGATTTGAAATATACAGGATTGGGAGCAGCTTTTTCTGGTATTCTCTGTATCCTTGGGTAATAGCATTTATTATTGTGAAAGAATGTGCTGTATTTCTGATGATTCTGCTTTCAGAAGACACGTACTGTAAAAAAAGGTATTCAGTCTCAAAACTCAAATGTTGTGTGAAATGTTTATTAGTTTGGGGTTTTTTTTCCTTTAAAATATTTTTGACTAAGTTGAGTTCTGAGATGTATTTGTTATTAAAATCAGAGTGTCGTATAATTATTAATTATGTTTAACTGAATGTTTGGTTTGAAAAATAACTGCTAGTGCTATTAAACTGAGAAAACAGTTAAACACACACTTGAAGCAATCTCTCCTGGTCAGCATCCCCAAAGGACAAGTTTATGGTTGCAATCAGTATTATCCAAACATGCGCTTCAGAAGTTACGATGGACAGTTGAACAAAGAACAGAGGTAAACACATTTTGAAGGTATGTGGCAATGATCTGCACTGGATTTGGTTGTCCCTGTTATTACTCTCTGCTCCCCTTAAGGCTTTTCCCCCTTCTTGCCTTGCAGCTACTTTATCTGTAGGCTTCTCCCAAGTCCTTTACCTTGTGCCAAAAGGGCTGGCACTGTGACTAAGCTGAGGAGTGTGCCTAAGCCAGTCTTGAACTGATTCAAAGCCATTCAGTATTCTGCAGTGTTGAACTTTGGGCAGATAGCAGATGCCCACCAAAGACACTCTATCACTCCTCAGATGGACGAAAATCTCACAGGTGAATGTAAGGACAAAGAGACATCACACACTAATTACTGTATCAGGCAAAACAGGCTTGATTTGAGAAAGCATCTCTGCTGTTTCTTCTTCCTTAGTGAGGACTCCTTATGGTCTTCCCTTCACTGGAAGGGTCTTTCTCATGGGAGACAGTCCTCAATAAGCTTCTCCAACATAAGTCCTCAGGAGCTCCAGTTCTTCATGAACTGCTCCAGTGTGTGTCTTTTCCACTGGGTCAGTCCTTCAGGAACAGGCTGCTCCAGTGCAGGTCCCCAGTGGGGTCACAAGTTGACTTGGGTTGCAAATGCAAGATATGGCCAGGGGAGTGTATTCCATTACCATCTGTTAGAGCTGGGACAGTTATCTTCTCTTAATTGGGCCACCTGTTAAAACTAGGTGGGGCAGTTTTCTTTATCTCTTCCAGGATCCATCCTCCCTCAGGG